CCCCCCCCCCCCCCCCCCGACTAGTTTTTGTTCTAGTTATGCTGGTCTACAATGGTATTATCCACAGAGATTTATAAAGTCCTGTCTTATATTACATCATCTCATTAGCCCATGTGTACATATGAAGGGAGTTGATGGGATATTAATTTTGACTTCTTTTGGCCACAGATGGCAAAAAACAAAAGCACAAGGCTATGGGTGATGAGGAGTGGATGTCACGCCTGCGGAGATTCGCTGCTTCAGGGGTTTGGCCCTCTGATGCAGGAAAAGGCTGCTTCCCGCCAGAAGAAGTGGAATGACCTCTATCTGAAGGTATAGTTGTATTAAGCAATTACAATACAGTCACACATGATAAAGCTAATAGAAACACTTGCTTATTTTTTGTCATGAAATATTACAGATTGACAAATGCCCGATGCAACGGAGGGGACAGGCATCTCTGTTTGGGGGGCCACAGACATGTGGCTGTGGTTTCCACACTAAGAAGGTATTTTTAAACTAACATCAAATTGTTGTGTGCACATTTTTGTTGTTGTGTCGTTTGCTTGAAATGACTTCAAAAGTCTCTGTACATCTTTAGCCTTCCAGCTCAGTCCCTGTCACCCATTTCCCCGTACCACTGTTGGCACTGGTCAAGGGCAAGGCCTTCAAGCGCTGCTGCTGCTGCCTCAGCATCAACATCTGCTGGACCTGTGCAGAGGCCTGCTTTGAATCTGGCTATGGTAAATCTTTATTCTGTTTGTGATTTTACCCAATGACTCTTAACTACTGACTTCTATGTTTTACAGAATAAATAACATGATCATGCATCCTGTAAGATTACATTCATTTTCTTTCAGTTTACAAACACGGTTTGGCGGGTCGCATGGTGCTGCTTTGAAGCCAAATTTAACTGTGGCTAGGAGCCTGCAAAGGTACAGTATGGTGACAGTCTAGGCATACATTTGATTTATAGTATTGCTTGTGACATAATTTCTCCTTGGTTAAATGCTTTATCATGTCTTATTATGACACAATGATTTATTATGCCTAGTAGTGATACATGATTTTGTAGATATTCATTAGCCTGTATTTCCTCCTGTTTCTCTCTCAGCCCTTATTAGCACATCGACAGTACCACCAAAACGTCGACACTGCACACCAACATCAGGGAGGACATCATCCCCTGCCCAGAGTCCCAGAAAACATATTAGGACCAGCTCCCCTTTCTCTCTTCCCCCTCTCCTCTTTCATCAGCCTCAATAATCACCCCAGCCACTGCTAAAGCTGTAAGAACCCTTTTCAATTGTGTTGTTCACAAATAATTTTTGTGTGTCAAACTTAACCTAAGCAGTTCAGTGATCAATGGTGTGTTCATGTGCTTAAATGCCTTATCATTGCTGAAGCTATACTTCAAGTTTTAATCTTATATGCCAATAATGATACACGATTTAGTTTATAACCTTGTATTTCCTCCTGTTTCTCTCTCAGCCTTATTAGCACATCGACCAGTACCACCACAAACTTTGGCACTGCAACACAACATCAGGGAGGACATCATCCCCTGCCCAGAGTCCCAGAAAATATATTAGGACCAGCTCCCTTTCTCTCTTCCCACTCCTGTGTCATCAGCCTCATAATCCCAGCCACTGCCGCTGTAAGAATCCTATTGATAATTTTTTGTTGTTGTTGCCAAACATCAAACCTAACCTAAGCAGTTCAGTGATTTATGATGTGTTAATGTTTTATTTGTGTGTGTCTTTCTGCACATAATTTGTTTATTATTAGGTTGTAGCAGCTGCTCCTCCAGTGCTCCTCAGACCCTTCTGTCTGTGCCTCCTCTACCACTCCTGGTCCTGATCTCTCAGCAATATGTCAGCGGAGGATGTGTTGGCTGCCCTGGCCCTGACCTACCCTGGCTGCCAGTGAAGATGAGGAAGACCATCCCTCCAGGACCAGAGATGGATCTCTGCAGCTCTGTGGAGAAACCAGCGGCTACGGACCGACCTGAAGCTGTGGTACGAGCCACCCGGGCAGCGCTCATCTACCATCAGGCCCCCTCCAGAGCGCTTTTTTAATCATCGCCTGCTTGTGTGGATGCCGTACCACTTGTGGAAGGTCAGGCTAACCTGTCCTGTGTGTGGGAAGCAGCTTGTGGGATACGGTGCCACAAGAGAGCCCGTCAGGTCCTTGACGTGGACAGGTACTACCTGATGGTCACAGAGACCCTCAGGTGCAACAGCATTGGTTGCAAAACCAACTACCTGTCCAGCAGCAAGACCATCCTGGACCAGCTTGACCTGGCTCACCGCTCGAATTCAGGCTCATCCTGACTCAGAAGTGAGTATAAAGACACCACTGTAACGAGCATGTACAAAAAAATGTTAATGAGAATACATATTATTGTGTTACATTGTTTATTTGAAATTGTCTGTAATTGAAACAGACTGATATAAGAGGTTGGACTGTCTTTTTGTGTTTGTCTAATGTCTCTGTCTCTTCCCTTTCTTTTAATACAGATATGCTTGTGACATTCGGGTCATCCGCTTCCTGCGGGAGAGGACCCTGGCAACAGCCCGTCTCGCTTGGTGAAGCAGCTGAGGGAGAACCACAGCGAGGAGTGGCTGCAGCGCCTCTGCAGTACCTCGGGGCATGCTCTGACTTTGTGGGCCGGCCCAGCCTGTTCCCTGTGGTGTTTCAGGACCCCTGAGCCTGTGGCCATTCCACTATAAGTGGATGCTGGCGGTCTACGGGCGGGACATCTTAAGCAGGCTGGAGCACATCAAAGCCAGCATTAATCTACTTTGCTCATCCTGAAGATGGACTCCACAAAGAAGGTACAATTCCTCATCACTGCTCTTATTCTCATGTCACAATTCTACAAAAACGTGTATCAAAGCATCACTCAAACTGACAAAATGACTAAAAAGGGATATTCTTCATCCCTAAGTCGCAATGTTAAAATGATTTTACCTGTAAAAGGCTGTTAACTGTACTGAAAAAGAATGGTATACTTACAAAATGTAAATACATAAGTCAATACAGACAAAATGATATGCTAGTTAGACCTAAGTCACTGAATGTTTCCTCTGTATACTTTCAGATCACCAGGAAGTTATCGGGCATTGCCAAGAGGATGCCTCTGGCTTTCCTCAGTTAGTAACGAGGTGGGTCAGATCTTGATCAGTGTCCTGACTGCTCAGGAAGGCTCTGGGCTGGACCTGATGGTGGCTGATCTCATCCGGAGGTACAGGGGAAGCAGGTGTGGCTCTCCAAAGCTCCTGTATGTGGACTGTGGATGCTGCAAGAAGGATGGGGAGGAGACCAAGCTTAAGGCACGATTTGGTGGCTGGCCAGACGTTGTGGTCAAGCTGGACATTTATCATTTCATGGACCTCAGCATGTCTACAGTCTGCCCAAATCCACTGCAGGACAGGCACTTTTAAAAAGAAAGCATGCTGCGCCACACACTGCTGCTCCAGCCACTGTCCGGCGAAAGGTGCCCATTCAGAGGCAGTTATTCCCCTGCTGCACTCTGCCTACAGCTGCTCCTGCCCTTGTAAACCCTACCCCTGCCAAAGCCCCTTGTTGTTAATGTTGGCTGTCCCCTCTCCCAGGCCTATCGCCCCTGATGGACCTCTTCCCCCTCCACCCCTCCCAGAGGCCTACAATCGTCAGGTGGAACATAATAAGTGCCGCAAATGCCATCAGCCCCGGAACAAAGACAGTGGCCACAGGCAATTTCATGGATACATTTATTGCCCCACTTTCACAGGGATGCCACTGGAGCAGTGGCTGGAAGAAATGAGGAGGAAAAGGGCCGAGAATAAATGATGATTCATTGTTCTCTTCTGTGTGCCCCGTCCTGTCTGTCTCTTCACATTTTAGTTTTTTAAAATGCTTACATGGCATTCAAATAAGGAGTGTGTACCGTCCCGTCCATGTAAACACGCTGTAGATACTGCTTGGAAATCAACCACAGCTGGACTCGGTGTCCCACTCATTGTAGACAGTCATGACTCACAGAGTCTGCTGCAGGTGTAAAATCTCAAGTTCAGAGATTCAGATTCAATCTACAGCATTAGTCTGTTTGAGGCTAGAGGCTAAAATGCCAAATATATTATTTTGTTTAAAGGAAATGTCCTAAAATGTGAAATGTGCCTTTTATTTAATGTTTTTAGATTTTTTAATTGAAATATTTCAATAAATGTGTGTGCTTCTACTCCAATTCTTACATTTGACTTATTTCTTAGCAATTTGACACAGTAATATAAAAATTATATTAAATAATATTTGCTATTTTTTAGTAAGTAAAGTCTTGTATCTAAACAATTAGATGACTTGTGTCAATACCACTTAACTTCTGAGAAGAAATGAAAAACAAACACTATCACTTTCCTACACATTTTGAATGCTAAACAGAATCAAGTATTGTTTTCTTATTTAAAATTACTTTTTCATCTGAACAATCCAAAACACTTTGTGAAGTTTGTTTTGGTCCAGACAGGGTTCGAACCCCCGTCCTTCGGATCCAATCTTCCCTATTATCCCCATATGAAAACTAGAAATATTCATCATTTTGAGTAATTTCTAAAATTTTATGAAAACTAATGACTTGGAGTAACTTTGACTTGCAGAAGGGCCATTAAGAGTTCTTCTTTCTTTCTTTTTTCCTCTTTTTCCTCTCCTTTTCCTCCTTCCCCCTTCTCCCCCTTCTTTCCTCTTTCTTCCCCCCCCATCAGTCTATTGTTTCCCTTTAGCGGAGGAGATAGAAGGAGGACTTGGAGTCTGGAGGTTGTGAGTTCAAATCTTATCAGGACTCAGTGAATTTTAAAGGTGTCCGTCCTAAATGAAAGACTCAAGAGGAACATAGTGAAGCACCTGCCAGTATCGATACACAGGAAAGACTCAAAGACGGTCACACACACCATTCTCTTAAAGGTGTTGGTCCAAAGGAAAGACTGAAGAGATCTGAGAAACATAATCAAGTATCTGTCTCTGTGGCTCAGGAGATAGAAGGAGGACTTGGACTCTGGAGGTTGTGGGTTCAAATCTTATCAGGACTCAGTGAATTTTAAAGTCCAACATCTGAATTGATGAAGATAAATACGCCGGAGCTCATGTCATAGTGTGAAGGGATCAGTAGTGTAGTGGTTAAGATTGTGGTTTCTAAGCTCTGTAGGTGGGCAGCCTGGGTTCAAATCCCACTGTGTCTGGTGATGGAGGGTTTGAATCTTATCAGGCAAATTTTAAAGTCAAAATCCAAAATGACCATGATAAATACGCCGGAACACATCTCCAAGTGTGAAGGCGCCGGTGGCCGAGTGGGATCGTCCTTGCATCTGCAACGGGTACGTGCTGGTTCAATTCCAGCTTCCACAGCATCAGGGCTTGGAACTGCTAGGGGACAAAAAGAATTTATGTGGACATTTCACAAATTAGGTTGAGGGTTCTTAATCAGCAGCATTAAGCAAAGTACCCCCTGGTGTTCGGAGAGTAACACAAGTAGGGGGTTATGGAGAAGAAAATGAAGTGTGTGAAGTTTTGTTAACATGTCAGAGCCTTTTATTTAAAGTGTTGTATGAAAGTTAAGAATAGAATAGAATGACTTTATTGATCCCAAACTGGTAAATTGTGGCGTTACAGCAGCAGGTTATCTAACACACAATATGAGTAAAAAACAATGTTAACAAATCTAAACACAATATAATATAATATAAGTATATAAGTACTAAATATCAAAACTAAGAATGAGAATATATACAACCAGGACTTAACTTAGTATTACTAGTCTTAAATAGAAAGATTAAATGTAAATGTGCAAAAACAGAATAGTAAATGGACAATGTTCAAAGTTAAAAGGAGCTAAAGTAAAATATGGAGCATCAGTGAAGTCAGTGGAGACACTTTTTATATGATATGTTAAGACCAAGAAGACAACTCTCCTCTCTGTAGGTCATTGAGGGAACAGGAAGTTATAAAGGAAACAGGAAGTTGAGGGTTTTTCTTTAATCTTCAAGGCTGCCCACAGCAGGCAGCAACAGCAATGTAAGTTCCTTTACTGAAGTTAAGGTTTAGCATTAGCATGTAGCTTAGCATTGTTATAATTTGTTATGTATTGCATCTGATGTAGCATACCATGTGGCTTAGCATGTATGTTAGCATTAGCAACAACTTGTATTAGTTTATTGTTATGTCTTGTAGTTTTCAGTCCTTATTCAATGTGGTGAATATGTGGCAGACCATCTCTTTGCTCCTTCAGGTGCAGCTCCTGCAATTGAAAGACAATGTTTAGATTTAGTTTGGACCAACAAAGACAATCCTCATAGCAAAGCATGCACAGGTGAGTATGTAGAAATGAGGTGCACAGGTCTGGGATCATCCATCTGTAGAGAGAGAGAGAATGTTAAAAATGTTTGATTTGCATTTAAATTGGGGAATTCAGTAAAAATAAAAACTGTTAAAAAATAAAATATTTTATAATATTTAAATATTTTATAAATGATTAATATTAAAATATTTATTAATAAATAAAAAGAAGTTTGTTCAAGCTGTTTCAATTGTCTTCTTTCTGTTTAAAGCCTTGTGTTAAGAAATAAAAACGTGTGTGTGTGTGTGATTAAACTCTGCTAATCCAACATTACCAAACAGACAAAGTTACTGTGACACTGAAGATGCAGAGGATTAAAATACCTCATTCAGTACAGCTGCAGATAGACGACAGATACGGTAGCTACATGCTAATGCTAAGCCACATGCTAATGCTAAGCTACATGCTAATGCTAAGCCACATGTTAATGCTAAACCACATGGTGTGCTACATCAGATGCAATGCATAACAAGGCTAATGCTAAGCCACATGTTAATGCTAAACCACATGGTGTGCTACATCAGATGTAATGCATAACAAGGCTAATGCTAAGCTACATGCTAATGCTAAGCCACATGTTAATGCTAAACCACATGGTATGCTACATCAGATGCAATAAATAACCAAGGCTAATGCTAAGCTACATGCTAATGCTAAGCCACATGTTAATGCTAAACCACATGGTATGCTACATCAGATGCAATAAATAACAAGGCTAATGCTAAGCTACATGCTAAACCTTAACTTCAGTAAAGGAACTTACACTGCTGTTGCTGCCTGCTGTGGGCAGCCTTGAAGATTAAAGAAAGAACCCTGCACTTCCTGTTTCCTTTATAACTTCCTGTTGCTAAGTCCAGAGCACTTCCTGTTGCACTCCAGAGCACTTCCTGTTGATAAATCCAGAGCTACAGATATAAGAAAACCGACGAGAGAAACAGACAGGTGATCATTCAAACAAATGCTTTGATTATGTGTGGTTGTGTTGAATGGATGTTTGTAGGAAACTCAGCATCGTTAACAAAAACAGGCGGAGAAATACAGTTATTTTTTAAAATAAGGGCCAATCAGAAGTCTTGGAACACCCTCATGTGCTCCCTGAGACTCCTTGAAGGTCTCGGGACTAGAAGGAAAAAACAAGAAATAACTTAACTCCATTTATAGTTTGATTTAGTTACGACCACAACCTTCCCGGTGTTACGGTCCAAGTGAGTAAAACGTCCCGTGCACACAAAGATATTTGTGGTCTTGGTCTTGGTCTTAGTGTGGTCATGACTACAACACTACGTGCAGCACCCTCTGCATGCAGAGTTCAGACTTCTGCAGACTGTTGGGTTTTTAAATGACATGACACTTGGATCCGGGGGCCTTGTTGTTGTTATGCTGTTATGTTGGTTATGTATTTTATGTGCCATTGCACGTTAGTTTGGAATACCCCAGGGTTTGGTTTTCCCTCTGATCATTCAGCAGTCTGGACAGAAAATGTGGTGTGATGTGTTAGCTGGTACATACATGAGCTTCTGTCATGAGTCTCTCCTGCTCCAGTAACAGGCCCTGGTTGAAACAAAAAGGAGCTCGTCCATCATCCTCTGCTTGTCTTGGATCTGGTCTCTGAGGCGGCTGAGCTGCTTGTGGTGGTTCTCCAGCTGCTCCTCCAGAGTTTTGTGGAGATGTATAAACAGATTAGAGACAATACAAAGTGTGTTTGTGTCCTCACCTTGATGTCCTCGTCTCCATCATGTCTCTCTCTCTCCTCCACCTCTTGGCTCTTCTGGTCGTAGTTGACGGCGAGCTCCTCCAGCGCCTGCAGCACCTCCTTCACCTCCTCCTTCAGCTGGTTCTCCGTTTACAGCCGGCACAGCTCCTCCTGGGAGGGACGTGGGGTCAGAGTGAGTTCATGCAAAAATGATCATCCTTATGAAATCCATGTTTAAATAAGAAAATGACATTAAGTAATAATAATTGAGAAAATGAAAGTATTTTAAGCAGGTTGTCTCCAAACTGTGCTTCTAATGTTGTGTCTTGTCTTTGACTTTAGTCTATTCTTGTCATCCAGCTGTTTGTACAGGTTGCTGATGTCCTCCTCGTATTTGCATTCAAACAAATTAATCATTTCAATTAAATCAATAAAAAGGTTTGTGGTATTTTCATTAAGAAAACCAAATGACAATAAACGAATTAAATTGATTAAAAAGTAAGTTTGAAAAGTAAAATTAAACCTAAGAAGAAAAGGTTTAAGGTAAAAATGCAGCTTTAACATAAATAATTGATCAAACAATGATGTAAGACTCTAATTAAAGTTATAGGTTGAAAATAAATGTATTTTATCGTTTATAAATCAGTTTATATGGAGAGGCGCGCCTCTGGTGGTTAGTTGTTGGTTACTGCACTTAAATAATAAATGAATTAGACTGCTGTTTCTTTGAGTAAATTAAACACAGAAGGCTGGATGAAGAGCTTGTTGTCTTAGTTTACCTGTTGTTTTATTTACCTTTTAGCTGTTGTTTTAGTTTTATTTCCCTTTTAGCTGTTGTTTAGTTTTATTTCCCTTTTAGCTGTTGTTTTATTTACCTTTTAACTGTTGTTTAGTTTTATTTCCCTTTTAGCTGTTGTTTTATTTACCTTTTAGCTGTTGTTTAGTTTTATTTACCTTTTAGCTGGGAAATAATAAATAATAACCTTTCAGGTTAGCGTCTGAAGTGTACCTGTAGGTCTGTCTTCATGAGCGAGGCTCCTGCTTCAACCAGATAATGACAGATAGTTCTTTGACACAGGGACGCAGCTCGGTGAAGGACCGTCTCCCCCCTGGTCAACAGAAGAGAGAGAGAGAGACAACATCACCCGAGGAACAGACATCAACCCCCTGCTGCTTCTTTTGTGTCTTGTGTTTATGATGGCACATATATCATCACATATAGACTGAACAGAGATCAGAGCACAGATACAGGAACAGCATCATCATCTACACTCTGTTAACATTTAAATAAAGTGTTTAACATTTTAAAAACCTCATGGTTTCAGTTCAATGTTCGATGTTTTCAAGCACAAATAGAATCTGTACTTACTGCAGTTTTTCTGTAAGGACTAAAAACTACTTAAAGGCAGGGTTGGTGATTTTCTCCAGATCCACTTTTTAAGATTGTGGTTGAAATGATCAACCCTGCCTTTAACCCAGACAAGACTCTCTCTTACCTGCTGTTTGTAAAGTGTCTTGAGATAACATTTGTATTGAGTTGGCGCTCTACAAAATAAAGATTGATTGAACTGACTTATTGTTTTACAAGCCTGTCATTGAAAGTTTCCCATTTATTCAAACACTAGAATACAGAAAGAAAGAAAAAAACATCATATTCCTATGTTGAAAAGAACCCACATACATTCATTAATCGTAAAAAAAAACAACAACTAAGGAGTCTATTAATGAGCTACGCATGGTGCAATGGCACCCCCTGTTGGCCTGTCAGAGACTGCTACAGGAAGTGACTGATCAAGCCCTGCCTATAAAGGAAGCAGGAAGTGGAGGGTTCCTTCTTTAATCTTCAAGGCTGCACAGAGCAGGCAGCAACAGAAATGTAAGCTCCTTCACTTTACTGAAGTTAACAACTAAGCTTTCTTTTGTCTTGTATTAGTTTATTGTTTGAATTTAGAACTTTGGTAATGACTAAACTAAATGTTGTTGTGTGTTGTAGTTTTCACTCCTTATTCAATGTGGTGAATAAGTCAAAAGAGTAACTAACATCCTGACTCACTCCATACGTGCACCATACATGTGGAGGACTGCACACACACCTGTGGAGGATGTAGAGGACCATCTCTTTGCTTCCTGCACTGGCAGCGTGATGACGTCAACTGCAGCCGGACGAGTCGAGTGAGGTGAGGTGAGGCTCCCTTCAGGTGGGGCTCCCTTCAGGTGGGGCTCCCTTCAGGTGGGGCTCCCTTCAGGTGGGGCTCCCTTCAGGTGGGCTCCTTCAGGTGGGGCTCCCTTCAGGTGGGGCTCCTTCAGCTGATGATTCAATTCAAAGACACATGTGAGTATGTAGGAATGAGGTGCAAAGGTCTAGTGAGAGATGAAACTGTCACTCACCTTCTTTAAGTCTTTGTTCTTCACACACTCAACCAGCAGCTCTACACACAGAGAGAGAGAGAGAATGTTAAAAACCACAGATAATTAAAGTTATTATCAGTGCTCTGTATGACGAGGTTGAAGGTCTTGGTCCTCAAAAGGATTTGATTGACTTCTCCTTTTGGGCGACAGATTTATCGGCTAACAATAAACACGTAAACTACTATAACTAATTAAAACACAGCTGGCAGATAACCAACGACATTAAGGACTAATGCAGTGCAGCTGAACCTGATCACAGATGTTCTCTCCCCTCCCCCCAGGTACTGAAGTCAATGTGATGCAGAATGGACAGCAGTAGTTACTTTCCAAAAAAACAGGCCCAATGTGACATTATAACAAACTGAATGTTAACTTTCATAAATCAGTCCTTTTTTTATTCACTTGTCTCCAAAAACAAACATTTTGAAGTTTAAACTAATTGTGATGTGTCTTTTTTTAACACTTTTAGGGGCAGCCTGACCAAAACAAGATGAAGAGCTGTTAGCATGTCTGCTACACCATGCTGCCTCACTTCCTTCAACATTTGGTGAGTATTTTTCTTGGCTTGTTTTATTTTAACCGTTTGAGTCACATATAGTTATATTCTTGATTTTATTCGTAGGCAAAATTGACATGATGCTACAAACTTTTAAATTTTAATCCTAACACTCTCTTTGATGTAGAGATTATTTTGACTTAATTAAATTATTAATGTATCAGAATGGCCCATTTTACTTCATGTTTTGTACAATCCTAGCTGTAAATTACTCATAGATGCAACCTGACATGAACTTTAAACCCTGATGTCTTTCTTTTGTGTCTGATATTCCAGGTGTTTCCTCGCTCTGAAGAGAAGGATCTGTGCTGCAGCTGGAAGGAGTTTCTTTAGATTAAAGTTTACTTGTTAGCTGTTTTAGTTTTCTTTCAGCTATAGATTTAGTTTAAAGTCTGTTTTCTTTAATCTTTATGTGGTTTTTTCTCAACACAATTTGATAATAAAGTCTTAATTTGTGTCTTGTTTGTGTTGTAGTTGTTTCCTTCTTTGTCACACAGCTGTTGATTTATTTTCATTTGAAGTTTAGATATTTTTATAACAAATTTCCATTAGGAAAATGCTTATTGGTGGTAGATAATTAGAAAGTTTCCTCAGGAACAATGAAAGCTGTAAACTACTATAAACCACAGCTGGCAGATAACAGCCTAATCAACAATGTAACACAAGCACAGAAAGGACAGCAGTTTTATTACAATAAAATCTAACAGACATGACTTCTGTTTTTTGCACATGTTACATCAGCACAATACAATAAGGCGTCACAGGCGTCCACATTGGGTAGGAGCTCAAAGTCATTTCATCCTTGTTAAGTGGAGGAACATCAGGTGTTTAATGAAGTAAGGATTATAAAAATGTAGTATTTCATTAAACACCTGATGTTCCTCCACTCCAAAAAGGATGAAATGATTAAAATAACTGAGTCTAAACATCTATAAGACCTAAAACCTGGAACATAATAAAACAACATTAAGAAAGCTTTGAGTCTCCTACCTGAGCAGGAAGATGTTGACAGAGTTCCTGTTGGAGAAGAAAAACACATTTTAGTTCATCAAGTTAATAAAACTCTGAAAATGTTTGTGATTATACAACATTGTGATGACTGGAATAAACCTGAGTTTCATCATTCACGGTAAATGATCTGTGTTTAACTTCACTTTAAGGGTTTTGGATGAGACTGAAGCAAACTTAAATAAAAGTTTAAATGTAGAATATAATATAGAAACATTAAGTATAAGGTCTTAAGAAACATCTTTACCATACATTAACTGTCACAAGAACTCAAATTAAAGTTAAAGCTTTAAACTAAATTAATCAGACTTTTGTTTCTTTGAGTTTCAATTAAACACAAAGCTGGATTAAAAGCTTTTACTTTTAAATTAAATAAAGAAGTTTATTCATATTACTCTGAGCTCTGTGAACAGTAATGTTTAGAAAATCATTTTACCTCGGATTAACTAATTTACATATTAGTCAATAAACTTAAATTGAGGTTATTGTTTTATTTAAACTCTTCAATCTGATATTAGTTTAAATTATAAGTTTTGTTTTTAAAGTTTACTTTTACCCGGTGTTTAAACAATTAGTTTAACAGGAGAAAACAAGTTCAAAAGTGACCTTCATAATGTTGATAAATGTTATCATCATCTTACTTTGACGATGTTTCCTCTTAACAAACATTTAGCATGAGCATTAGCCCACGTGTTAGCATTAGCATACAGCCCCACGTGTTTCTATTTTGTGGCTTTTCACACAAAACTGAACTTTTAAAGACTCACTGAGTATCTAGACTTCATCTCTCCTTCCCCGGCTCCTTCTTCTTCCACCGCTTTGATCCACAGCCAGGCTGCCCGCGGTCCGCACCGCTTACCTGCTCGAAACAATGATATACACACCTGAGAACACCTGAACACACCTGGGCGTGATTACCGGAAGCTTCAACCGGAAGTGTCGCAGAAAGTTTCTATGGAAGAAATGAAAAAGTTATAAATAAGAGGACACAAAACAAGACTAAGTCAAAAATCAAATGTTTTATTGATAAAAATATTTATTAATGTAATTTACTTGTTTTTATGTTTTTTAAACTTTGAACTCTTGGTAACCAAGCAACATGAGAAAGTCAAACTCGGGTCACCATGGTAACTAAACTGCATTCGTTAGCAGGGACGAAGCTAACCTGTTTTCCGGTCTTTAGGACACTGACTGAATTGTTACTCACAGATAAATTCACTGCTGAATGATGTTTACCTCCAGTTTCTCTCTTCCTCTCCCTGTCGTTCTCCAAAGTGTCTAAGAAGCAAGAAGCAGATAAATTTGTAGTCCGAAGTTAGTTTGAGATACTAATGTGTAAAGATGGAGTTTAAAGGTGAAACTGCGCCCTCCTGTGGTCACTCTGTGAATTACTGCATTTGGAAGTTTTTTTTTTCACCTTTCTTGTTCTAGATACAAATTCAAACTGCTTTCTTTGTTTTATTTCTTTATAAATAAATGTGACTTGACTTAATCACAGATAACATATTTTTTTAATTATAAAAAAGCAACTGTTTACTGCTTATGTTAATTAAAATCAATTGTCTGTTAATCACACATGCATGTTAGTCTCTCAAAGAATCTGAAGTGTAACTTCACTGATTGCATATTCTTGTGTACGTTGGAGCATTTCACTACTGAGGAAGAAAGCAGATTGTGTTCCCATGACATATTAGGCAATATATTTTTCTTATTTTCTTATTAGTGGTAGATAATTAAAGACTACAATAAACAAGTTTCCTCAAAATGAAAGAAAACAGACAATAAAAGCTGTAAACTACTATAACTAAATAAAACACAGCTGGCAGATAAGGGTTTTTGTTTTGAATCCACGTCTTTTTAAGCCTTTTCTGCCTCGTAATTATCGGGCAAAAATATAAATTCTTTGACTTCCAAGTAGAGTGAATGTAATCACTCAAATGTGTCTAGAAGGTGACTGGTTACTGCACTGACCTGTATCTAACTTAAAAGTAGTGAGGCTTTTTACCACACCTCTAAGAGCAGATAAAATGATCATCAGAGTTCAACCACTGACGAAACAAAGACACTGAAAGAGAGTACAGAAAGAAGACTTGGATGAAATGAAGAAACTTCTCAGTTGACAGTTTTGGTCTCACTCCAAGTCTGCACTCAGAAAGAAGAAAAGAATTGATTTGCTTTCTTCAGAAGAAAAAAAAGAAAAGAGAGTGTTGCTTACAATCAGAGGACAGGTTATTCTGTCTTAGTCTGTCTTAGACAGACCCCTTTAGAAGACAGACTAAAGGGGTTTCACACTTGCAGAAAACTCCTGAAAAACTCCTGACACCTCAGAAAAGTGTCTTGACACTGAAGAAAGACGGCAGCACTCACCCGTCATTCCAAAGGGAAAGCAGGTGTCTTTTAATCACATCCAGGATTCCTTCGATCCACAACCAGAAGGAATACACTTTCTCGTTCGCACTCTGCTCACAGACAAATACATTCAGTTCAAAGAGAAGATGTAGTTTTAACTTTATGATGCACCAAAAAGACTTCATTAGTATCTGCTAACCTGTACATGTTTCTCTTTTTGCAGCTTTTGGTTAAATTACAGATTTGAATACAGATTTTATTCATTTTTAACTTGTGGTATTAAAAAGTATCACAGATGTTGACAATCTTAAATCTCAGGCTGAATGGGGCTCACCTTGCACAACTTGGTCCAGGGGATTTGTCCCTCTGGGTTCCTCTTGGCTTTGGCTCCTGAAGATAAAAATAAATAAAAGTTAAAGGCCTGTTTGAAAGTCCTGCAGGTGTTTATCTGTTAAAGAAAAGTATTTCTACCGAGCAGTTTGTCAGCCAGCATGTTGAGCTGCTCCTGGTTCAGGCCTCGCTTGGTGACGGAGGAGAACTGCCAGCTGAGGAGCTCGGACAGCTGAGACCACTTGGCCTGCGGAGCGCTGAGGAAGAACTTCAGATTCTGAGGGAGAGGAGAGGAAAGAAGAAGAGATGGAAACACAAAAAGTCAAACCATCTGGTTTAAAACTACAGTTAAAGATACTCTGTTACGAATAGAAGACCTTTATTCAAAACCTTACTTCATATAAAAAGCACAGGCATCAAAATATACTCAAAATGCAAACCATAAAACAGCTATACACGCGTCAACATTTAGATTGTATTAATGGTCTGTTTATGAATTTAAGGTGGCAGCTGTGAAACTTGTTTAAATCATTAAGATATCACCTAATTGTATGTTTGATATTTGTGATAAGTAAACATCTGTAATCATCAATGAGAGTCCTGGTTGTGTACCCTGGGCTCGGAGGTCAGCATGTTGTACCAGAGGATGGAGGCCCAGCCGCTGGGCAGCTGACAGACGTTAGAGATGACAACAACAGGCAGGGACATGGCCTACAACAACAAAAACAGCAACAAACATCAGGAAATAATCATAAACAAACTCATAAACTCTATAGTTTGACTGTAGTTACTAATCATGTCCACTAGATGGCAGCCAAACTCTGCTGTTTCATTTAACATCCAATCTTTCCCCACTTCCGTTCCACAGCTTAGTAGCACTGCGTGTTTTAAAGTATATATTTCATAATAATTAAATGCTTTGTTGTGCTTCAAATGATCTACATGATGTTGAAGGTTTTAACTCTTTGTGGCTGTAATGTAACTTCTACACTTTACAACCACGGACTGTAAATATTACAATATAACTCACCTGGAGGTTAACAGCCTCGTCAGGTCTAATTAACCGCTGCATCATGCATTCATATTACACTGCTGCCCTCTGCTGGCGATGGATTGTAATTACATCCAACAGTCACTATAACAGAAATGTATCCTCTTTTTAACCTTTTTTTCCACACATAAATGTGTGGAAAATATAAAAGTGCAGTTACTTCTGTAAAGCAAAATTCTGTATTTTCTTCTTGTGTTTGTTTGTACAGGTGTGTGCAGGTGTTTCCTCGCTCTGTGCTGCAGCTCAGAGGTAAAATGATTTTCTAAACATTACTGTTCACAGAGCTCAGAGATTAAATGTTCATCTTACTCAAGTAATATGAATAGACTTCATTTATTTAATTTAAAAGTAAAAGCTCTTCATCCAGCCTTCTGTGTTTAATTTACTCAAAGAAACAGCAGTCTGATTCATTTCTTATTTAAGTGCAGTAACCAACAACTAACCACCAGAGGGCGCCCTCTCTATATAAAGTGATTTATAAACGATATAATGCATTTATTTTAAACCTTTAACTTTAATTAGAGTCTTACATCATTGTTTGGTAAATTATTTATATCAAAGCTGCATTTTTACCTTAAACCTTTTCTTCTTAGGTTTAATTTTACTTTTCAAACTTACTTTTTGATCAATTTGATGAATTTATTGTCGTTTGGTTTTCTTAATGAAAATACCACAAACCTT